TATATATTATATCTATATATACACACACACTATACAGTATATGAGTGTAATGAAAAGACATACGCATCTGTGCAATTTTTGCTTTTGAAGATATTTCTATGAACAGAAATCAAAATCTGCACTTTCCATATAATTTGTTTTGATCAGGTCAATGATTGATACCTTAAAACTGCAAAAAAGATTAAAGATTATCGAGGCTGAATACTTTGATGTGCTGTTGATTCATTTGTTTCTCAACAGAAAATAAAGCAGTTTTGCCTTTTTTTCTGCATTGAACAAAAGTAAATGAACAACACAATAACAAAAGTACTTCAGGCAAAGGAAAACATGGAGAGTTTCTGGCTTTCAACCTGTATGAGTTTTATAAATCATCTTGCCTTGTTGCAGCAGAGGTGTGATCATGAATTTCCATTATTTTCCGGGGCAGGTAGAACACATAGATGGGAGGGAATGTATTGTTTTCAGCATGTTAGGGTACATGCATAGACTTTCAGGGAGGCATTCTCTGATTTTTGAAAGCGCATTTAAACCTTCAAGTAATTGCTGATTCAAGAACACTCCTGACATTGGCCAACATCTGTACTTCATTACAGACTGGTGACTGGCATACCCACTGCACATGTGTTAGGCACATTCATATTGTACACACTCTACAGTTAGGTAGTGATTCACTGCATTTTACTGTGAAATCTTCTTTGAGACCTGCTTTCATATAACTTGCAGGGTATTTTTTATTTTACTTGTTTTAAGTACATTTAAGTAATAAGTAAAGGGTAACCCCCACCCCCTTTGCACACCCAAACTACCAGTTTGACAACCCTTGCAAATAAATTGGTATCCCCATGGCAATGGATCAGTAAGGACATGAATCTCTGGTTTGCTTATACTAACCTGCACATCCTTCACCATTGATGGCTAGCTTTAAGAGGGCTTCCAAAATCAGTGGGGATCATTGCGGACAGGTCCCAAATTCAGATGTGCTACTATCGATGCCCAGGGGGGTTGATGGCATGGGGACTTATGTGCAATCTACTTGCCCCTCCGGGCAAGTAGGTAAATGCCTGCTCCCTTGCCCCCCCCACCGCACCTTATCATTTTACCATTGTGTACTGCTAGTTTAAAGCCCAACTCCAGGGTGGAAAGAAAAAAGCCTTGCAATAGGGCCTGACCCATACAGCAAGGATTAAATAATCAATACGTCTAGGGGGGAGATAAAGAGGCTGTGTTACTTACCCTTACCTCCGCTCTCTTTTCCCTGACACTTTGGCCTGTAGTAGGCCCCCCAGCATTATCATATGCATTGCAGGGCTACCAGCCCTTCATGGTATGTGGAGGAGGCAGGCGTGTGACTAGGAGGATCTTTCATGGGAGTGATCATGAAGATAAAGGAGGCCTACTGGTGCAAGCAATAAGGTAAGTATTACTACTTTTTCCTTATTCTTCAACTCCCAGAACTGACACACATTTAACCCTTGCAGTGTGTGTGTATGTGTGTGTGTGTGTGTGTGTGTGTGTGTGTGTGTGTGTGTGTGGGGCAATACTTTCTTTTGCCCGGAGACTGTGAAATTGCAATGTAAGTGTGTAACAGTTGAATAGATATATAGATGCCTAAGCATTGATACACATTTTGCAATCGGATTGTGCAACCTCTTTTGATTTGCCAGCATTTATGTAGTATGAACAGTACAATTCTGATTCTCAGAGTAACATCAGCCATAGCCAGTGATAGAGATACATTGAAGAGGATTTCAATGTGGGTGCCCAGTGTGCATTCTAATTAATCAGCAAAAAGTCTCTGTGCACAATAATCAATTATCCTGACCGCAGGTAGGTGCTCTTCAGTAGATTGTGATAAACTGTTATAAATAATTGATACAATCCAGATAACTTAGGGTCAGGGTCTTTTAAAGTCTTACAATGCATTATTATTTTTTTCACCTATAATTAAAAAGAAAACAGATTCTTGATCGTGAGTACAAATACAACTCATTGTTTAATTACAAGAGTTGGTTGTTATGCTCCATAGACTTAAAATAGCTGATTAGAAATATCTTTATAAAATCACACAGTTAATTGTCATAGATTGCTGATGCACTTGATGTACTGCTGTCATCTGGGAAATACATTTAACTGTGGTAGTCATTAAATGATTTCAATTCTTTATTAGTGCTTGCTAAGTATTTATCTAGTTTGTACTACCTATTGACCAGCTGCGCAGACATTGTTGTGCGTACTTATTTAACAGCACAGGGCAAAGAGCTGAGAATATTCAGAGTATATTGCAATATGTGACTGAACTGGTCAGCTGCTTCAAAGCCAGTCCTCTCTGTACATGTAAATGTGCCATACTTGCATGTACAGAGTGTACTGAAATAAACATATAGTGGTGCAATGTTAATGGGACAACAACATGTGGTGTGCAATAATTCTTTGACACCCTAACTAATGTGTTCTGCTGGCTCTCGAGTTGCGTTGCAATGTGGTTCATTATTATGGAGCTCTCAGGGTTTCCCATGCCTCATATGGCAGAACACAGAGACATCAGCCTGTTTGGCACATTCTGGTGAGCGACCTAACCTGGTCTGACCAGGAACCAGGCCCTCCTCTGGTCATTTGGTCCCGCTTCTTTCCCTAGGCATAACATCATGGCCAAGATTAGCTTTCCGTTGGTACAAAATAAAATATAGTCCACGGCAGGCTCCTTTAGAAAGAATGTTAACTTTACTGATGAACATTACGTGAACAATCAGCCATGTTTAATAATGGTGGCACAGTGCTTCAACTGTTCTAACAGTTCTTGGTATCAAGAAAACAACTCAGAGAGGGAACTTAAGGGAGTGTTAGAGAGTGCTAGAGAGAGGGAATTGGAGAGTGACCTGCACCCTGTGGAAGGTATAGTAATGTCCTGGCTTACCTCCCTTTAAGTGGGAGAATGTCCTTCCATTTCCCCCTATTGGGAATGATTTCTTCTTGCATGGTCCCTCCTGGACATGCTTCACATAAGAAATCTAGATCAACAGTGTCCCACACTGGCAGCTGCAAACTCCAGCTCCCTGCCTTTCACTACCCTCCTTAAGGGCACTCCTGACTGACAGGAGGACATCTAGCATTGACACAGAGGAATTACACCATGACACTCCCCTACAGTGGCAATATGGTTTGCTGTCTTCCAAACTGAGAAAGTTGGAAGAGATCTACAGAGCTAGGTCTAACCTTCTCTTTTCTGCAGCTGACTAGCTTGCATGTGTACTGCAATTAATGCTAGCCAAGAATCCCTGCTTCTAAGCAAAGTTAGAAGTGTGTAAGGGTATATAGCAATTTGGAGAGGGTAAACAGAGAAAACGAAATCTTAACTCTAGCTTTTTATTGTTTTAAATTCACTGCTTGCTACTTTCCCCATATCAGAGCCCCCATTACATATGATTAATGGTATTATTCAAGTTATGCATTTACCTTCATTCAGGTTCGTTCAGTTTAGCGGCATTTAGAGAACATAGAATTGTCCAGGGTGCAATTAGAAATGCTAAATGTGGCTAAATACTTGCACATAAACACATGTAAATGCATGCAAATACAAATAAAACCATATAAAGGAAGGTACATCAAAATGCAGATCTTGACCTGGGAAGCATAAAGTTTGCTTATACTTTCCAGATAATTTCCCCTGTGTACAAATAATCTAAACTCAGGAGTGATAATGTGAATGGAGCCTTAGAATGTAATGTTACTCCTTCCTTTGTGGGCATTCCCGCCTAATGGACACTCCATGCAGGAGTATTGTGAGCCCAGGTTGTTTTGTGAAATACTCCCAGAAAGTATGTCCATGACAGACTGGGCCCAGAGGAAATGGGTTAGAAGAAGCTAAAGTTTTTTTCTTTTTTCTTTTAAGATTGACAAAGCTGCATATTTAAACAAATCCTTAGCCTTCCACTTTTAGAGTTAAGGGGATTCTGTTGTGAATTGTGTTAAAAAAACAAACAAACCAGTACTTTATATAAAGTACAGGGGAGCATACTGATATATACAGCAGTTTTTCCTTTTACAACTGATTGCTTGGCTGTTCTGGCAGGCAAAACATGAACACCTCGTGGGTACCATTGAACCTTGCTACTAAGCCCCACCCCCACATATTCCTATTGGCCTATCACTGTGATGGACTCTCTTACTGGTCAATAGAAGGGTGCAGAAGGTAGGAAGGAATGGATTTAAAAACAGACATTTTATTTTTTTGCTTCATAGAAGTGCGGGAACCTTTAGTATCCAACTGTCAGCAATGAGTCATTCTGGGAGCCAACTGTTGTAGCTGTTGTAACTGTAGTAGATCACACCAGGTCATTTATCTTTACAACAAAACTTCTTCAAGAGACATTCTCCTAAACAAGAGGTGAAACCCAAAGCAACCAAT